GCTACAACAATATGAACAACAAAATAAATAAGATATATTGGATTATAAACCAAGGTATGACATAAATAGATATCCAATATCCACGAGTCCATACTGCTAAAAATAAATGATTGAGTAGGTTTTTTTAAAGGTGTGGGGCAGAAAAATCTCTTGTAGAGATGAACTCCAAATAATTTATATGCTATAGAAACTAACCTCTCGGGGAGGTGGCCTGCCCTTTGAATGGGCTGCCTATGGTGACTTCCTTCCAAAGACATGAGTACAAAAAGGGAAAGAAAAGGAGTAACTTTACGGTGGAGAAACCTGACAAACAATACCTCAGCCAGGCGATCAAGGCCAGTGTCAACAGCGAGGTCGTGTTGTTAGCATATAACCCGATATGATGTGATGATAATGGCACTTTACCTCTGTGGTCTTCCTTCCAAAAATCAATAATCCTATTCTAATCATTAGGAAAACACCAGACAAATCCCAATTGACGGACATTTTGCAAAATACCCAATCAGTACTCCTTGAAACTGTCAAGGTCATCCACAATAAGAAAAGTCTGAACAACGGTCACAGTCGAGAGGAGTCTAAGGAGACATGACCACTGCATGTAGCCTAGTATCCTAAATGCGATCTAGGAACACAAAAAATTAATTGTGACAAACGTCCCATTAACATAAGGTTAGAGGAAACAGGGTGCAGGTATACAGGAATTCTTTGCCATATTTGCAACTTCTCTGTAACTCTAAAACTATTTTAAAATAAAAGTCTATTTTAAAAATAAAGTCTATCTGAATGTAAGTTATAATAAACATTTATTGAGTTAAATATGTACTAAATGTTACCTGTGATATCGTCTATAATCCCCCCGCCTCCATGGTCTCCAAGGCAGATACTATTATCTCACCTAATTCTTGAGTGAGGAAGCTGACGCATACAGAGGTATAGAAATTTTCATAAGGTCACAGAGTTATCAGAGATTTGAAGTGGATTTCCTCTGACAGGGTTCTGAACTTGTTTTGTTGAGGAAAGTTGAGGGTTCTGTTGAGGAAAGTTTGGTCTAGGATCCTTATAAATGCACATAAAAAAAGGGATGTGCTTGTGGTTATTTATTTATGGAAAGGTAATATATTTATATGAAAATTTAAAATCAGTTAATGCAAGAAGTCGTAATAGGAAAAATTAAGTCTCAGTTTAAATGATCTGCTTATATTAATACATGTATTTCTTTGCTGCCTGTTAGCTGTCTGCCTCCTTTCTCAATGAAAAACAAGGGAGTAAGCTCACATCCATCATCCTTCTCCTCCCTCCTTATTTTGACATGATTTTATTTTTAGTATCGTTATTGATTACATCTATAGCTTTAAATGCTGTAACTAAACTCTGTTTCTTCATTTATCAAATTGAGGCAATGTTTTTGACTTTCCACTAAATAAGAAATTAGTACTACATAGTTTCTTTCACCTTATAATAATTGTAATACTTTATTTGTGGTATCTTTACAGAAATAAATAAAAGCAATAACTTATTATTTATGCTGTATCATCATGAAGTGTATAGTAGCCAATAACAAAATATGGTCTGTCAGAGATTGTAAACTAACAGCTGCTGGAAATGCATTATACATAGGGAGTGGGGTCGACCAGCCTCAGTAGAGAGCGACCATGGGGCCAGGCTTAAGTAGGTCCCATTTTTCCTGTCTGGAGATCCAGGAACAGCTGGGCACACTGAGGCAATGGATGGCCTGAGATGGACTGAGATCCTTGGGCTCAAGTTCAGTTCCTGTGGGAGAACTTGCTTGCCAGCAGGCTGGAGTCGAGATCGTTAAGGGAGGACAGAGTGCAGCTAGAAACTGACACCTAATGGTGCTTCAAAGTCCTTGGGATGCCCTTTTAAACACCTAGCAACTTTATTTTTCAACTTTTAAATGTTCTTTATTCAGTCCAAACAATATCCATTTAATGTTTTCCAAAAATTAGATAAAAGAACATATCAAATATTAAATGTATGAAGTTTCTCTGTCAAATGAATGTTTTTGATTGAGAAAATGCTAAAAATACATAAGTTTTTGACATTTGTTAAAAGCATAGGGCTAGATATAGTCTAAAAAAAAAAAAAAGAATTGTGCCACTTACCTAGTTTTGTTGTTCCTGTGAACTTTAAAAATCTCGTGTCTAGGGCATTTGAAAAATATTTGTTTATTTAAACTGACAAACAAAAATACTGTATATATTTATCATGTATAACATGTTGTTTTGAAATATGTGTACATTGTGGAGTGACTCAATCAAGCTAATTAATATCAATTAATCACATACCTACCATTTTTTTCTGGTAAGAACACTTGAGAGAGAGAGAGAGAGAGGTATATATAAAAATCTTTCTCTTTATATATGTACATACATAGGACATTTTGCATAAAATATGAATCTGCATTTTTCATTACTTATTACTATAAAACAAAGGTACAATGTACATACAGCATAGAGATGAAGCCACGTTAAAGCCACACTGAAAAGACACTCATAATACTGATATTCCTGATGTACAGACAGACGTATTTTAGAAAATGTAAAGATGCCAAACACAGACCTTTATAAAGAAAAACAGTCATCAAATCACTAGTTTATTTTCATTGTAGTAATTTTGAAATCAGTTTGATATAGACTAAACAGTGTATTTATATGATAATGTATAAGTTGAACAATTAGCACAGGGAATTCGAGTACTGACCAAAGAAACCTGAAAAGGCCGAAATAGGAAGCACTATTCTTGTCAGAGAAAAATAGTTTCTGTCAAAGCTTTTTTAAAATTGTTGTTTGGTGAATGTATGTCTTCAATAATGAGTAGAGATAAGACACAGGAAAAAAGATATTCTTATACATTGAACTTTAAACAATCAACCAAACATGAATATGTTGTATTTTTCCTGGGGAAAAATGGGATTCTTTCTAAAAACCTATCACACGAACATACTGAATATCCAAAATTGGTCTTTAAAAACCTATCAGCCAAAGGTAGAAGGTCAAACAGTGGCTTATCAATATTCATAAGCCATTGCTTTATATAATATAAAGAAGCCCTTTTTCCTCAAAAGATGGAGGCATCTAAACTTTCTTTTTAAAGTATGGATTTTATGACAGTAAAACAGGTGGATTTGTCAAGCTTCTCAGGAAATGCTTTCTCTCACAAAATGGATATTTCCCCCTATAAGTAGGGGCAAACCTTAAACATTGTACTCACTCATGCTCTTGAGCAAAAGCAATCCCTTCCCTAAAAATGATTTTCTTAAATGGAATCATTTTACTTCCTCCCAAAATGCAATCTTCCAGGAGAGTCTGAAAAAAATTTTCATAGTTTCTGACAATTCTAGAATTCCAGTTCTAAAAATTTATCCTAAGAAAATTAAGAATAATTATCAATGAGAATGTTTATTCTACTGTTTTGACAGTAAGCAGGGAAACAACATAAATGCCCAATATTATAGAACTAGTTATGCAAATCATGGTGTGTTAATACCATGTGTAATAGTGTTGATCAATATTTATTGGCATGGAAGAGTATTGACAATTACTCTTATTGTTAAATTTTACTGTTCTATTTAACAGTAAAAAGAGTGGGTTATAAAATATTTGGAAATGAATCCATTTAGTGTTTTTTAAAAGTTTGCAGACATGTCTATGAAATAATTAGATATGGTTAATTTTAGGTGATGAGATTTTTAGGTTGCTTTTATTCATCTTCCTTATGCTTATCTACATTAACAAATCTTTATACTAGCTTGCATCATTTGTTTAATGTGAAATATTGTGGATATAAAATTATAATTATATACAATTATGATACCTATCTATATAGAGATAAATGTCATAACAAAGGTAATACCAAGTCCCAGCAATGAGGAAGACTGCTAAACTCTGGATATGGGCATTCTATCTATTGGAAATTATAGGTTGAAATTCTGTTCTGATCCTGGGCAATATAATCTATTGGGTTGGGTACTTGATTAAAAAATTATACTTTCAGTGCCCCCTCCTCCCAAAAATGTAGATCCACAAGAAATCTTCATATGGAACTTCCGGCAATATGCTACATAGCTGAGCCTCAGTCCCTTCTGGACCTGCATCATATGTGCTGGGCTCCCCTCATCCCTGGCCACTAGACCCTGGGCTTGGGCCCAGGCTTTCCCCAGAGGTACAGTCCTTTGGCAGCTGTGGTTTAATACCCTAAATTCAGTAAATTCACTAGTTTGAATTATCATAGGGACTTGGGTTAGCAAATGTTCCATATCTACCATTTCACACCTAGCACTGACCCAAATTGAAATTGACACCATTGGCAGGCACCACACTTGCCATGCATTTGTTCATGCTGGATCTTCCACTGGGATGATTCTTCTTCCTTACTCTACCCAGATAATTGAGAAATACAAATAAATTAGTTTCCTTAAAATTGTATTTGTTAGTCCACATGTTTCAATCTGGAGTGTCCATTGTTTCTCCCACTGGATTATAAACTTCTCTAGAGCAGAGGCAAATCTCCCACTTTTAAACACAGAGGCCAGGACACATTAGGTCTCAATAAATGTTTATTGTATTGTAGCCTTTGGTGCTAGAATCATGCAATGACATGGGTTGATGGCTACGAGGCTGCTGAGAATGGGGACACAAATCCCAAAACACCTGCCTCTTTCAAAGGCTATCAGCTGTCTTAGGAAGAGAGGAGAAGGAACGGCATCCACCTGGGGGGTCTGGGTACATCTGAGCAGGGGCCTCCAGAACTCACAGAAGTCAGGGATGCAAGTGAAGCAGTTTTATTGTTGCTGAGCTGAAGGGGTGGGTGAGAGAGGGCAGCAGCAGTGTGGCTCGGCCTAGCTCAGGAAGTGTTTCCTAGCCCAAATGAGAGGTTGAGGGCATGGGCTTCGAAGGGGAATTAGTACACATTAGTACACGAGGCTGGGGTGGGGAGATAGCAGCTGCACCTGTGCCCCCTGTCCTCTGGGCCCAGTCGCCTTAACACTCCTCCTCTTTGCAGTGGTAGACTGTGCCTCCACTGAGGCAGCGGGGCTTTCGGCGGCGAGTTCTCCTAGAGCAGGCGGGACTCTGAGCCTGGATCCTTTGGGAAGTGGAATGGCAGCCTCCTGAACAGGGAGCACCACAGGGAGCACCACGAGGAGCCAGGCAAGGGTTTGGGCATTGGAGAGGGGAGCATTTGGGAGCATTTGAGGGCTCCCAAGATTGCTGCTTCTGCTGTGACATTGCTGGGCCAACAGGTTGAATCTAGAAAACAAAAGAGCATGCAGTTACATCAGGGACCTAGGCAGCTTAGGTATCTATTTCTCTTCTCCATGAGCTGGAGCTGTCAAAAGTGGGGACTGGCATTTACAACCTGCTGAGTTACAAATGGATTTGAAAGGGCTAATCATTTGGGGAGTAAATCCTGGTGGGCATTCCCAGGGGACTCACTTGCCAACAACCATGTTAAAAATTTACTCTTCCTTGGCCGGGTGCGGTGGCTCATGCCTGTAATCCTAGCACTCTGGGAGGCCGAGGAGGGCGGATTATTTGAGCTCAGGAGTTCAAGACCAGCCTGAGCAAGAGCGAGACCCCGTCTCTACTAAAAAAATAGAAAGAAATTATCTGAACAACTAAAAATATACAGAAAAAATTAGCCAGGCATGGTGGCGCATGCCTGTAGTCCCAGCTACTGGGGAGGCTGAGGCAGGAGGATCGCTTGAGCCCAGGAGTTTGAGGTTGCTGTGAGCTAGGCTGACGCCACGGCACTCTAGCCAGGGCAAAAGAGTGAGACTCTGTCTCAAAAAAAAAAAAAAAAATTTACTCTTCCTTTTAAAAACGAAAAACAAACTGCAAACTAGTCAAGCTTACAGACTACTTTTCCGAGGCCAATGTCCACCATGGTCAAGCATGAAGGAGAACTAAGTCTCTGCTCTTTCTTCACTCAGTCTAATTCTGCTCAAGATCTCTAAACCTGTCTGTCTCTTCTCTGTTCCTCTGGCCCTCTAGCATCTGCGGCTTCTCCCATGTTAGATCACTTGGGGTCTTTTGCAGGGACCCACTTCTCTTCCCTTCTCCCTGCCCCAAATGTCTCCTACCTGGCTTATCAACTCCCTGGGAAGAGCCAAGGGGAGAGATCGGGCTGCTTTAGCCACACCCGAAGTACATCCAAGTGTCTCTCCACACTTACCCTAGTGGACGACGTGTGGGCAAGGCATCCCAGGAGGAGTCTGGAGGCCTTCTGGTGCCAGGAAGGAAGAGGCTTTCTTATACATCCTTCAACTAAAGCCTCCAGGCCACACGTTATTGGAGGGCAGCCACAGAGCAGATGATCTATCCAGATATTTCACAATTCCCAGGGCAGGATTCCTCAGCTACATGCAGCTGGGATGTGATTTGAAGGGATTTGCGTGTGAGTGAGTGAGCAGAAGTCTGGGGCCTTCAGATTGGCCTGGGTGGAGGTGGAGCTGGGTACGACTAGCCAAGTCTGGATGACAACCCTGGGGCTGGATGGGGTACAACTGCCATTGAGTCCTATCTAGGACTGGAGGTGAAGATCAGGTTAAATACCACCCTAGAGCCTGATGAAGACCCTTCTGTCCATCCCACACCCATCATCCATGACTTCGGCATCCAGCGCAATGCCATTGCCTCCATGGAGACTTGTCTGGCTCCCCAGCTGCATCCTAGTCCTCCATCCTCCGACCTTTATGGATATCTCTCACAGCCTTATGTTGCTCTGGGTCATGGTGACCTAGATATGTATCCTATCTCCTCTAGTAAACTGTTCTTTAATGATGGGGACTTTGTCTTTATCACTTCTGCATTCCTAGAGCCTGATGTTGTCCCCAACCAAAGAAAATGCTCATTAGTGTTTGTTAAATGAAACAATCTACATGCCATTAGAATAGACTTTGTATTTCAGGATAACAAAAAGTAGGAGAAAAATAAAGCTGAGCTCGTTTTTGTTTGTGGATCAGACCTTGACTGCTTGTTTTCACCATTCTTCTCCAAGGCATTTGTGAACACCCTTTTATAAATACTACAGAGCAATCTGTGGGTAGACCTCACCTTACACAACAGGCAGAGCATTCATTACCCCTCTTCTCTTAAATGCAAAAGGGGAGCTGTTCTTTGCAATTATTAAGGGACTTTGTGGAAAAGCCTTCCACAGAGTGAAAAGTTTTCCTTTATCTTCCATGGAAATTGATACCATCACATTTTGGCAGTGCTTAAATTGGGAGCACTCTCATCGAAATACCGTCCTTCACCTGTGGATGCTTCCCTGGCAGCATCACTGCTGACGTGCACCGTTGAGTAAAAAGGTACTGATGAAACTCCCGCTGCTGAGGGCTGTGCCTTGCCTGCCTCCGTATTCCTACTGCCTGACATGAAGTAGGTATTCAGGAAGCAGTTGGGTGAATAAAAAGTTGAGCAATTACAAGGGACATTCTTATAGTAGGAGTTGTCCTTAAAGGCCTTCAGATAATATGTAGGACAAAGGTAAGCAGGGTTGGGGGGTGGGGTAGGGGATAAGGAGCTTATCCAGGGTGGAAAACAGGACAAGGCCAGAAGAGGAGCAGCTGTTGGATCCCCAAATCCAGCAGGACAGGATTATCAGGGCTCACCTGCTTCATCTGGGAATGCTTTGAGATGCAGTTGGGATGAAGGGAGGGAGAAGTCATTGCGAGTGAAACAGAAGGTGGGACAATGGTAAGAAGCTGAGCTCACCCTGTTAGAACAGGACCCTGGAGAGAGAGCACCTGATTGTGGGGTCTTGGGGATTAGACCCCTTCTCCCTTCACTCCCTTTTCTCTCCTCTCTCCTCCTCTTTCTCCACCTTCTCTTCCCCTTCTCCACCCCCTCGGTTGTCAGAAATAACTCTGGTTGCTCCTCAGAAGTGCTTCACATTCACTAAACATTAGTGGGAAGGCAAAATAACTCTGATCTCAATGTACCAGTTGCCTTTTCCCCACACAAGACCTGCACCACATGACCCCGTGTATAGGAGACCTCACACATCACAAATGCATTTCCTTGAGGTAAACTAGCAAGCACCCAACCCTTATCATCCCTACCCAAGGGCTCAGGGTTCTTTCTGGGGGCTCTATCCTGGGAAAACTAAGTTTCCCTGACTCATCTACATCTCTCCCAGAAACCAGTCACAGAAATCTCTAGGTCCAGTCATTTTCAGTACAATGAACTTCATCACCTAGAGGATGGCATGGGGGATTGACTCCAAAAGGATTTTCACTTTCAGTGGAATGTATTCAGCATCTAGATTTATCTAGCTCATGACGTGAGCCTTTTCAAGGCCCCTGAGCTGTACTTTCTTCTCAGTAGACTCATAATAAGTCCAGAAAGTTCTAAATTAGGACCCCAGGAATTTAATGTTCTCTTCCTGATCCCATTCCACCTCTCTTTCTGGTTCAGGTTGTATCTATGAGTATGATTCTATGATTTGATATTAAGCACGTACTATGTATTGGATACAAGAAGGAATAAGAGCCCCATCTCATGCTTCAAAGCTTTCACTCGGGAGGGAATACAAGTACATTAATAGGTAATGAAAAATAGCAAGTAGAAGACTGGGCAAATGGAGAGGCAGGTGAATTCTGGTTGTAGTGGGACTAGTCAGCTATGTGTACCAAATTAGAAGGGTAGTGATCTGAGTGATGTGGGTCCTGCCATTATAATATTAGAGTCCCACCAGGGTCTGGAGAAGGAGCCCATCCATGAGAATAATCCCTTCTCATTCCTGGTCTCTATTCGTGACCATATTTCTCTGAGCAATAGATTATCTCCAGGTCCCCAGCCTCAAATGAAGTTACTTTGCCCCCTACCTGTCTGGGTGGGTTTCTCTTCGGTCCATTTCTCTTTGGTATCCCAAATCATTTGGATATTCCTGAAGTAACTTCCCAAAGATATTTTAAATCTCTTTTATTTTGCTATTTTTAAAATGAATAATTGCCCTGACTGTTAAATATTCTTCCAGACCACTTTGATATCTTCAGGATAAATCTAAACTCTTTTTGACTAACATTCAAGGCCCTATGCACTTGGGCCCTGTCCTATCACTGTATGCTTAGCTCCTGGTGCTTCTTTTCATTTTGTTTCCTCCTCTGCTGAATGGGCGGATTCATTGCACTGTGAACAGGCTTTTATCCTTTCTGACACCTGTCTGTCTCTCTGTCTTTCCACATCTCTCTCTCCCTTCTCTCTCTCTGTTTTTCTCCCTTTTTCCCCTCCCTCCCCCTCTCTCTTTCTCTCTCTCTCCCCCTCATTCTTTCTCTTTTTCGTGCAGATTGCTCTTTTGAGAATACAGTCTTTTCTTTGTTTTCTGATCATCTATCTTCCAAGGGCCAATCCAAATCCCATGTCCTTTCTAATGGGTTCTTTGACAATGCCTAGCCAAGAAAATCTTCCAGAGCATTTATTGCTTGTTACACATGTATTTATTATCATGAACCATTGTATTTTTACATGAGATTGTTAACACCTGGAGCACGAGTCTATGACTCATGCATCTTATGTCTCCTGTATACAGTGGTTCATTGCACATACTAGTTATCATGTCTTTAAAAATCCCCATCACAAACATGTGCAAAGAACTTCACAGTTTACAGAATACTTTCCAAATGTTATGTCCAAAGTTGTTTAATTCAGATGAAATATGAACTCAGGCCATGACAAAATCAGACATCATGATAAAGTTAGGATTGTCCACGTCACACTGTGGACACCTCAACTATCTTGCCTGAACACTATGATATTTTTACTTAAATCACTCCAAAGAGTTTAGTTTGAGAAGAGTGTTCAGGAAATCTATACCTTGATTCCTACAGGTATTTCCTATTTCAGAACTCAGCCCTTCTTATGCTTTCTTAGGAAGAAAGGCTAAGAGATCTGAACTTGGCTTTTTCCTCCAGATAGGACTGTACCCAAACCACCAATTATCCTGACTGTACCCAAGGCTATAGCATCATGAGGCCTGGCTTGTTAAGATAGACCACTGGGTATAAATGGTTTAGTTTCTATTTCAATAGAAGAAATTATCACTAGCAAAAGATGGGCTTAGTGTAGCATTTTCTTCATCAAAGGGATCAGTCTCTTTTTTTTCTTTCTTATCATCCAAAGGAAGAGAAGGGGAAGCTTCTGAGATTTAGAGGAAAATAATTAAAACTGTACCTCAAGTTTAAGTTGTCCATGACTCCTTATCAAAGACCTTTTTAAGAATAACTTAT